ATCTTATTGCCCCAACATATAACTCGGAGCCAATGTTGACTCCTCCTCGCCCTCCGCCTTATGCATCCAATTAACTTAGAGTATTCTGTTTTGTGTTTTTTTACCTTGAAAGACATTATAGTCCATGCTGGGTTTTTTTTTGCATTTTCCTTAACATTGCTTTTGCCCAAGTACTTTTTACTTCTCTTTCAGATATTTCAATAACCCCCTAATTCATCTGTTGCTTTGAGTTTTTCCTTCTTCTCATCATTTCAATGTCTTGTTTCCTGTTTAATATTTACAAATTTCAATTAATAACTTGATCATAAACCTCTTACAGCATCACAGCGCTGACTGAATGAAGAAAGAACATGCATTAGTGTACAAGAACTTTCCAAGGATATCTCCAGTCTACCATCACAGCATCATCTGGGATGAAGAAGGAATAATTCTTGCTGAGTACTGTTGAAATACATGAATGAGCAGTTATATCTCTATAGGTGTATATAAGTGTATGTGAGTGTAGGTAGGGCAGCGTGAATAGAAAGAATCAGTGAACTGCGCGTATGTTGGATAGTTCCAGTAAAACTAGTTATAGTAGCAGAAACAGGAAGGGAGTGGAAAGAACTACTGTGAGGTAGTGTTAGCTATTATTACAGTAAATGGGCATGAACCACAGAGGCTAGAAAACTATTGGAAAGATACCTCGAGTATGAACTGCCAAAACAGAAGTCTTGTGTTAGGTAGTTGTTTGATAGTGGAGCTAAAATAATGTTATACAGGGACCGAACTGGGGAGCAAGGAGCCCGTTCCTGATGCCTTTGAATTTGGACAAATAAGAGAAGCACCAGTCTACTTTCCCTTCTCTATGGAAGGAGCTTCTACAGCTTCCCCCTCTTTATGAAAAGCCACCTTTGATGAAATGTTATCATTTCACTGTCTACGAAATGATCAGCATCTCAGATACCTGTAGCAACGCGAGCAGATTTCAGGTGTCATGGGCCTATAGTTTGAAAAAGTTTCCACCAGGTAGACAACTTACGTTGTTTCAGTGCATAAGATTTGTAAACCAACTTTCCCAGCTGTATAAAACATTAGGAATCACAGTGCCTTAAAAAATGAGCTTTACTGATAATGCATTGTTACGGGTTGAATTATGTCCCCTAAAAAAAGATATGTTGAAATCCTAAGTGCCAGTAACTCAGAATGTGACCTAGTATTTGGAAAGAGCCTCATTACAGAAATAATCAAGTTAAAATGAGGTCATTAGGATGGGCCCTAATTCAATATGACTGGTGTCCTTAACAAGAGGGGAAAATTGGACACAAAAACAAACATGCTCGGAGGGAAGACAATATGAAAAAACAGAGAATACCATGTGAAGACAAAGGAGTGATGCATCTCCCAGCCAAAGATGACAAGCAATCTACAGAAGCTAGGGAGAGTCATGGAAAAGATTCTCCTTTATAGCTCTCAGAAGGAACCAACCTGCTGATTTTGAACTTTTAGCCTCCAGAACTGTAAGGCAATAAATTCCTGTTATTTTAAGCCATCCAGATTTTATTTTATTATGCAACCCTAGGAAACCAATGCACACATTAATATATAATTTAAATTACTAGTTTCTAGTATAAAAGAAACAAGGAAATAGATGTAGAGTACATTTTTCAAATATCAATGTTTTTACTCCAAACAGAAGCAACTGCTTTTAATCTTTCAGAGAAAGTATCTCCACGTTTGAGCAAATACTTTTATGTTTCCACAGGTGATAACCATAATAAGACTTCTCGCCAAAATCTCTCTAGAAATCAAAACCTTAGTCCAACTTCTATCTCAGCTGCAAACCATCCTACGTTAACTCCTTAAGTAGGTCCTTAGCCTATATGTGTGAGTAATCCTTCTTGCAACAGATCCCATTACAGCAATGGTATCAATATCCAACTCAAAATACAATGAATTTGATATCCTTATTTCCAAATTTTCTGTAGAAATGAAGGACAAACCCAAGGAAAGCCCACTTCATTTTAATCTGTGACAATTCCTTTTCAGTGTTACCTATTCCCAGTTAGACCCAGATGGAAAGTCACTGATTGTAACTTCTGTCAAAACTGGAAGCAGTTTTGCCAACTGGTAGCCAAATAGAATATCTACTAAAAAAATGCTTTCATTTATTGCTTAAATGTATACTCTCTTCTGGGCAAAATGTGCAATTATCCACTATATAAGAGTTTAGCCAATATTTTTGCCATGAGAGTAATCAACATATTACCTAGAATACTACCTGAATGTTTCAAATCAGAAGATGAGAAAGCTAATTCTTCTTTCTGAATGGCTCAAATTTTACTATCTCCAAATATGTCTCACTATCATTTCCTTTCCCCAGGACTAGGAAGAGGAAGAAATTTATTTTGATCTTAATTCAATCACAAGAAAATCTTCGTTGAGCCAACCAGAGCCAATTATTGTTGTGTGTGTGACAGTTGAATGAAACTGAAGACATTTGACACAGTTGTGAAGAACTTTAGTCAATCTCTTGTCAACCACCAAGAGTAACTGCTTGCCAGGGATAGTCTTCTTCCTCAAATTTGAGATTGCAGAGCACTCTTTTTGCAAGAAACCTTGGCTTCAGCAAAGGTGCATTTGAGCCCACATTTTTGTTTCATTTTCTATGGATGTTGCCTCTTTCTACATCTCTGCCTTTCATGCATATTTGATCACTCTTTCCATCTGTTAAAAAAAAAAGTCCTATTGTCCTATTTCTTTCTGGGATTTTGAGTGCATCTATAAACACTAGTAGAATCTTTTTCTTATCATCATTTTCTAGACATGTTAACTTGGCTTTAGCAAAAGTGAAGCTCTCCGGAGAGAAAAAAAATTAATGATAAAATATTGAAAAGGGAGGAATCTAAATTTAAACATGTTATTAGATGAAATCTATAATTTATGCAAAATGAACAGTAGTTTATTTGCAAGATGAATTGCTATATCTGCGTAATTTTTAAAATCCCAAAGATTCTGTTCTTGATCTCATAAAGATATATGAAATAACTGAAAACATAACAAATTACTTTTCTACTTTTTCAGGAAAAAAAATGATTTCTCCAAGTCTTTCTAAAGTTTTCTAATCCACAATGCACAGCCACAAGCAATGTAAGTCAGTCTACCTGAGAGCCTGAGGAGGCTGTACAGATTAGTTAAATAGTAAGAGGAGGACACGGCCAAAGTCTGGTCTCAGGTAGCAACACAGGATTGAGGGGATTGCATATTTCAGTCAATCCACTGAAATTAATTAACCAATACATGTTACACACATTTGTGTGTAAGACATATAAAAGATACAGTCACTATCCTGAAGGGTCTCATATCAACTTAAAGTGCTGACCTCTCTCTCCCAAGCTGGTCAAGCTTTTATGACTGTCAGACATTTGGAAGAGGAAAGCTTCTATTGTTTTTCTCCAGAGGAAGAGAAACATTTCATGGTTTCACTAAGATCCTGCCAAGGGGAGTTGTAGTGTAAAAATGAATACCCTGAGGTGCCCTCTACTGACTAAGTACAGTTCCAATTATTTAAGTTCTCATGAGAGAGAACATTTCATATATACTGGTATTCAACTGTGCTGAGTAATGTAGAAATAAGCAAAAGATACGTGAAAAGTATTGCAAAAACTTTTAATCCCTGGTCAGTTTGGGGCTTGGAGAAAAAAGAGATAGATGAAAAATATATCTTAGAAATCAAATGGTCTTGGATTCCAATCCTGGCTCCATCACTTAAAACTGTATGACTTCAGGAAAATTTTTCTTTTCTTTTTTGCACTTCAGTCCCACTGCCTATAAAAAGTGGAAAATATCACACCACCTCATAGATTGTGCTGATTAAATGAGTTAACATGTCTCCAGTACTTAACTTAGAATCTGGCTCATGTTAAGCATTAGATAAATGTTAGCTATTATCTACTAGCTAAACACAACTATCATATGTACTACATATAATGATATGTATTTATAAAATTCAGTTCTATAATTGAACAGGTACAGTCCAGTTAACTTCCAAAAGGGAGTTTGCCTGAATCAGATGATCAGTTACCTTAATTCAGGTAAGTAAATCACTATTGATAAGAATCAATTCTCTCCTTTTCTTTCAAAGGAATAGATTAAATCTGGACTTATTTAAGTCAGACAGATCTCAGAATCTTGACTCAACCGCTTAATATATAACCAACTTTGGTTGTAATGCTTATTCTCTCTGTGTCCTTCATCAGTGAAATGAATATAATAAAAGTGTTTGTCTCATAAGATGCACATTTTCAAAAGAGATTACATATATACAGTGCTTAACCCAGAGCTCAGCATATATCTAAGTACTCAATATTAGTTACTATTAATTGTTATTATTATGAAAGGGTCTTTGAGTATTAACTTACTAGGTTTGTGACATAGGTATTTCTTTAGCTGCAGCCTCTCTTAGCTGAGATCAAAAGACTGGGATCACATACATAAATGGAATTGATGGACTATAGCCAACTAAAACACAATATGAATGTCTAGGGACCAATGAGAAGAAAGGATATTTCCAAAGCATTCTGATGAGATGACATGTGTTTTAGAAGGTGAAACAAAAGAAGGCATATTGTTTCACAACTCATATGTCAGCATTCTCACTTCCCTTTGTAGCAGAAGTAGCCAATAAGACATGTGTCTCTTTCAAAAGCAATAATTATCAGGAAGGTGCTTTGTGCTAAGTGTAGTGCTAGGCACCGGAGACAAGAAGATTGAAAAAATAGATACCACCCTCCTTATGAAATTATACTATAATAAGGATGGTAGCCACTTAAAAAACATCACACAACTAAATATACAATTATAAATTATGTGGGCGCTATAAAAAAAGTACATTTTGCAACTGAGGAGGAGATAGTGTGATCAATCTTCCCAGTTTGCCTAGGGCTGTCTTGGTTTTATCACTGAAAGTCTTACTTTCCAAGAAACCCCTCAGTTCTGGGCAAACTAAGATAGTTACTCACCCTCGGATTAGAGCGGAGAGTCCTGGCAGAGGTGGGGGTCAGAGAAAGCCTCTCTGAGGAGGTGACCTCAACACTGGGCCCTGAAGAAAGAACAGGTGTTAGGGAACCTCAGAATCAACAGAAGAGCATTCCTAGGGACTGAGCAGCTATGTAAGGCCCAGATGGGAAAGAGCTCAGAGAAAGAGGACCAGAGAGGAAAGAAGGCCTTGCGAGGAGGCTGGTAAAGCTGGTAGATTATGCTGAGCCTTGAAACCCATGTTGAGGGAGGAAGAGAGAGGAAGGGAAGTGGATTTTACCTCAACAGCAACAGAAAGATTCTGAAGAGTTTTGGTCATAGGGGCAACCAAGCTCAAAAATCTTTTCTGGGATTGTTCCACCACACACCCACCTGGGTGAGCAGTGTGGGACAGGTTCCAAGAGACTGGAGAAACGACCCGGAGACTGCGAATGAGACATAAAAGTTTATTGGGACTTACTTACAGAGAGTCCAGTGGCAGCCGGCTGGACGCAGATTTGCGCACCACTACCACCCCCTGAGGCAAGCTTGCTTAAGTGGGCAGAGGAACAAAGGCTGCATCCTTGCCAAAGGGCTGTCCTCGGTACGACCAGTGTTCCCAGGAACAGTAGCTCACACGGAGTGGCTCTGTGTCCCTGTAAGACGAGATGTTCTTTACGTGAGATAAGGGAGGATCCAGGCTGGCCAGGCCATAGATTGTTACAAATCCCAGCAGCTGGGCGGCCTGCCCAGGTGGAAGCCAGAAGGACAAATGGTTGCAATGAGCCTGGGGACTTTTGCTGAGAAAGCAAGGCCCAGGCCCTGCAGGGATAGTTCATCTTTTAAGAATGTCACTCTGGCTTCTATGGGAAGAAATGATAAGAGGTAGAAAATGGATATAGTGAACAATGGGTGGATTTGTGGGTGATTTTGATGGGCTTTTTTTTATTGCATTCACATTGGTTTACAACATTATGTAACTTTGAGCTGTACATCATATTTTGGCTTCTGTATAGACTACATCGTGTTCACTACCAAAAGTCTAGTTTCCATCCATCACCATACATATGTGCCTTTTTACCCATTTTGCCCTGCCCCCCACCCTCTTCCCCTCTGGTAACCACCAATCTGTTTTCTATATCTATGTGTTTATCTTCCACATATGAGTGAAGTCATATAGCAATCATGTTTCCCTGTCTGACTTATTTTCCTAGCATAATACCCTCAAGGTCCATCCATGTTGTCACAAATGATACAATTTTGTCTTTTTTTATGGCTGAGTAGTATTCCACTGTATATATACACCACATCTTCTTTATCCATTCATCAATTGATGGGCCCTTAGGTTGCTTCCAAGTCTTGGCTATTGTGAATATTGCTGCAATGAACATAGGAGTGCATATATCTTCTTGAATCACTGTTTTCATGTTCTTTGGATAAATATCCAGAAGTGGAATAGATGGATCATATAGTGGTTCTATTTTTAATTTTTTGAGAAATCTCCATACTGTTTTCCATAGTGGCTGCACCAGTTTACATTCCCACCAGCAGGGTATGAGTGTTCCCTTTTCTTCACACCCTCTCTGACAGTTGTTATTTAATATCTTTTAAATAATAGCCATTCTGATGGGTATAAGGTGATATCTCATTGTAGTTTTGATTTGAATTTCCCTAATAATTAGTGATGTTGAAGATCTTTTCATGTGCCTGATGGCCATCTGTATATCCTCTTTGGAAAAATGTCTGTTCAGATACTTTACCCGTTTTTAGATCATGTTGTTTGTCTTTTTGCTTCTATATGAACTCTTTACGTATTTTGGATATTAACCCCTTATTGGATATATGATTTGCCGATATTTTCTCCCTGTTGGTGGGGTGTCTTTTTGTTTTGTTGAGGGTTTCCTTTGCTGTGCAGAAGCTTTTTAGTGTGATGTAGTACCATTTGTTGATTTTTTCTTTTGTTTCCTTTGCCTGAGGAGACGTGGTATTCAAAAAAGATATTAGTAAGATAAGTGTCAAAGAGCGTATTGCCTGTGTTGTCTTCTAGGAGTTTTATGGTTTCAGGTCTTACATTCAAGTCTTTAATCCATTTTGAGTTAATTCTTGTGTATGGTGTAAGACAATGGCCTACTTTCATTCTTTTGCGTGTGGCTGTCTAGTTTTCCCAACACTGTTTATTGAAGAGACTTTCCTTTCTCCATTGTATGTTCTTTGCTCCTTTGTTGAAAATTACCTGGCCATAGATATGTGGGTTTATTCATGAGTTCTCCATTCTGTTGCATTGATCTTTATGTCTGTTCTTGTACCAGGACCATGCTGGTTTGATTAATATAGCCTTGTAGTATACTTTGAAATCAGGGAGTATGATACCTCTAGCTTTATTCATTTTTCTCAGGATTGCATTGGCTATTTGTTGCTATTCGTCTTTTATTGTTCCATATAAATTTTAGGATTCTTTGTTCTATTTCTGCGAAAAATCTCATTAGGATTCTGAGTGGGATTGCATTGAGTTTCTAGATTGCTTTAAGTAATATGGACATTTTAACTATGTTTGTTCTTCCAATCCATGAGCACAAAATATCCTTACATTTCTTTATGCCTTCTTCAATTTCTTTCAATAATGTCTTACAGTTTTCAGTGTATAGGTCTTTCACCTCCTTTGTTAAATTTCTTGCTAAGTAGAGGCTGGCCCAGTGTTGCTGTGGTTAAGCGCGCACGTTCTTCTTCAGTGGCCTGGGGTTCGCTGGTTCAGATCCCAAGTGCGGACATAGCACTGCTCAGAAGGTCATGCTGCGGTAGGCATCCCACATATAGAGTGGAGGAAGATTGGCACAGATGTTAGCTCAGGGCCAGTCTTCCTCAGCAAAAAGAGGATTGGCAGCAAATGTCAGCTCAGGGCTAATCTTCCTCAAAAAATAAATTAAAAAAAAATTATTGTCAAGTATTTTATTCTCTTTGTTGCAATTGTAAATGGGATTGTATTCTTTTTTTTTTCATTAATGTTATGATAGATTACAACCTTGTGAGATTTCAGTTGTACATTTTTGTTAGTCATGTTGTGGGTACACCACTTCCCCCTTTGTGCCCTCCCCCCACCCCCCCTTTTCCCTGGTAACCACCAATCAGATCTCCTTATCAATATACTAACTTCCACCTATGAGTGGAGTCATATAGAGTTCGTCTTTCTCTGACTGGCTTATTTCGCTTAACATAATACCCTCAAGGTCCATCCACGTTGTTGTGAATGGGCCAATTTTGTCTTTTTTTATGGCTGAGTAGTATTCCATTGTGTATATATACCACATCTTCTTTATCCAGTCATCAGTTTCTGGGCATGTAGGTTGGTTCCACATCTTGGCTATTGTAAATAATGCTGCAATGAACATAGGGGTGCAAGGGACTCTTGGGATTTCTGATTTCAGGTTCTTAGGATAGATACCCAGTAATGGGATGGCTGGGTCATAGGGCATTTCTATTTTTAACTTTTTGAGAACTCTCCATACTGTTTTCCATAGTGGCTGTACCAGGTTGCATTCCCACCAACAGTGTATGAGGGTTCCTTTTTCTCCACAACCTCTCCAACATTTGTCGCTCTTGGTTTTGGATGTTTTTGCCAATCTAACGGGTGTAAGGTGATATCTTAGTGTAGTTTTGATTTGCATTTCCCTGATGATTAGCGATGATGAACATCTTTTCATGTGGGGATTGTATTCTTGATTTCTCTTTCTGCCAGTTCATTGTTGGTGTATAGAAATGCAACTGATTCTTGTATGTTGATTTTGTACCCTGCAACTTTACTGTACTTGTTAATTATCTCTAATAGTTTTTTGGTGGATTCTTCAAGGTTTTTATAAATAGAATCATGTAATACACAAATAGTGACAATTTTACTTATTCCTTTACAATTTGGATTCTTTTTATTTCTTTTTCTTACCTAATTGCTCTGGCTAAGATTTTCAATACTATGTCGAATAAGAGTGGGCATCCTTGTCTTGTTCCAATTCTTAGAGGAACACTTTTCAGTTTTTCACTTTTAGTATGATGTTGAGTGTGTTTGTCACGTCTGGCCTTTATTATGTTGAGGTATTTTCCTTCTATACCCATTTTATTGAGATATTTTATCATAAATGGATGCTAAATCTTGTCAAACACTTTCTTTGCATCTATTCAGATGACATGTGATTTTTATTCTTCATTTTGTTAATGTGGTGTATCACATTGCTTGATTTGAGGATGTAGAACCATCTTTGCTCCCCTGGAATAAATCCCACTTGATCATGGTCTATGATCCTTTTAATGTATTGTTGTATTTGATTTGCTCTTATTTTGTTGAGGATTTTTGCATCTATGTTTGTCAACAATATTGGTTTGTAATTTTCCTATGATGCGTGTCCTTGTCTGGTTTGGGTATCAGTTTAATGTTGGGTTTGTAAAATGAGTTAGGAATTGTCCCATCCTCTTCAGTTTTTTGGAAGAACTTGAGAAGGATCTGTATTAAAACTTCTTTGAACGTTTGGTGGAATTCACCAGAGAAGCCAGCTCATCCTGGACTTTTGTTTTTCTGGAGGTTTCTGATTACTATTACAAACTCTTTACTTGTGTTTGGTCTACTCGGGTTCTCTATTTCTTCTTGATTCAGTTTTGGAGGTTGTATGATTCTAAGAACTTATACATTTCTTCCAGGTTATCCAACTTGTTGGTGTATAGCTTTTCACAGTGTTCTCATAATCCTTTGTATTTCTGTAGCATCTGTTGGAATTTCTCCTCTTTCATTTCTGATTTTATTTATTTGAGTATTCTCTCTTTGTTTCCTCAGTGAGTCTAGCTAAGGGTTTGTCAACTTTGCTTATCTTTTCAAAGAATCAGCTCCTAGTTTCATTGATCCTATCTTTTGTCTTTTTAGTCTCTACTTCCTTTATTTCTGCTCTGGTTTTTATTATTTCCTTCCTTCTACGGACTTTGGACTTCATTTGTTCTTCTTTTTCTAGTTCTTTTAGGTATAGTGTTAAGTTGTCTATTTGACATTTTTCTTGTTTCTTGAGGTAGGCCTATATTACTATATATGTCCTTCTTGGTACTGCTTTTGCTGCAACCCAATAGTTTTGGTATGTTGTGTTTTCATTTCCATTTGTCTCCAGGTATTTTTTTATGTCTCCTTTGATTTCTTCATTGATCCAATAGTTATTCAGTAGCACATTGTTTTGTCTCCACATCTTTGCTACTTTTCCAGCTTTATTCTTGCAGTTGATGTCTAGTTTAATACCATTGTGGTCAGAAAAGACGCTTGACATAATTTCAATGTTCTTAAATTTATTGAGGGCTGTTTTGTTTCCCAACATATGGTCTATCTTTGAGAATGTCTCATGTCCACTTGAGAAGAATATGTATTCTATTGCTTTTGGATGGAATGTCTTTATATATCTAAAATCCATCTTGTCTAGTGTTTCATTTAAGGCCAATGTTTCCTTGTTGACTTTCTGTCTGGATGATCTATCCACTGATGTAAGTGGGATGTTAAACTCCTCTACTGTTATTAGTTGCTGTCCATTTCTTCTTTCAGTCTGTTAATAGTTGCTTTATATACTTTGGTGTTCCTATGTTAGGTGCATGTATATTAATAAGTCTTCTTGGTAGAATGCCCATTTTATTATTATATAATGTCCATCTTTGTCTTTTGTTATCCCTAT